TTCCAAAATTCAAAACAAAATTGTAAACAATTGCAAAATACCACTGACTAAAAAAAATACAAATAATTTGCTGTCATTTCACTTGTCAATCTTGTCATGACACGTGACAGGTAGCAGGTGGCGACGCTTTTGAGCCCTAACTGAACTATGAAACATTATGGCCAAGTTAGACAACCTTTCAAACACTCTTTTATTTTAGTTACTTTATGGTCTATCCATTCTGTAGTTCGCGATTTTGCGAAACGTTCTCATTGGTCCAAATTTAATGATCATGGCGGCGCTGTCAGAAATTTTAAGATTTTGGCGATTCCCAAGAATTAAAATTTGGGCGGCGGGAAAGTTAAAATGTTTTCAACTTTTTGCGGATATTATAAAAGTGACCAATTGTAAGGCAAACAGAATGCATTTCGCAATTCGTAAATCGCAATTCCCAAGTGCTTGAACTATTATAAATAGTTGGCATATTATAAAACGACGTAATTCCATTACAGATTTTATGATTTTATGCCATTTATATTCTGTTATTCTATGCACAGAATTCCATGTTCATTCATACATTACAGCGAACAGCATAACATTACAGAGTGTATACTATAGTATTTTTTCAATATTTAAAAAATAATGACTGTTATACTGCCCCTTTTATACCCTCTCATTAGAAAGAACTCAGATAGCACATTTTCTATTAATATATTTCTGCGTTTTCTACCGTCTGATAAACGGATCTGAAACAACGGGACAACAGTGAGGGGATCACAATTTTCTAAAATCATGACCGATTTCATTCATAAAATATCTAGGAGCGTGCTTTGATTCATAAAAATATATCAGGAATTTTTATAATATTTTCCAGTAAAGTTTATAATATTATTTTACTTTAAATGTACCTGCATCTTGTTTGCCATTTGCCAAATATAGTAATATTTCTTAAAATGCGTGTACTAATTACAATAAGAACAAATCAAGTTAAATGTATAAAACACAATACAATAACACCGCCACTGGATTTTTGAATAGTACTGACTGTTTCCTGTTTCTACTATTCCTACGGTTTCTACCAAAGACATCTAAATAAAGGATTACTAGATATTTTTGGTGTGTATTATAAAAACAAACTATAAAATTCAAAGCAGAAACTATATAGATGCCTTTATTTTGATGTCTTTGGATTCACAGTTTGGATTCTACTTTGCTTTCCAAACTACTGCAGGCTACTGCTTATTGATATCCAAAGACGTTTGACTTTTGACTTTTTACAACAACTGTTAATTCTTTTGCATTGAAAACTTTGATATAATTTCCGCCTGGTCATAATTATTAATTAAACTATCTTTAGCATTATTAAACTATAATCAGAGCTACGTAGTCTAATAGTCAAAACAAATACAAAGTTCAGAACGCCATGACAGAATCACGCGCTGAGAATTTAGTGACGTAGAAAAATTACGCGATATTGACGCAATTATTTCTAATCTACAGTCACCTTTAAAGTTAATTATATTCTTAGCAACTGGCAGTCTGTCGGGCCAACTAAAGCAGTGCGGTAATGGTTTAAAAATTTGAATTTCACTTGCCATTCAATTTTTAAGCAACGTAAATATTACGGAAATTTAAATAAATCTCTGAAATCATATAAATATACAGTTCACATATTAACAATGGTAGCAGTATTTTCTAGATTAGTGGCCTTTACAAACAGGCATCCAGTCGCCCGGGGTATGCTGTCATACGGTAAGTTAATGCACATATCTGGAAAAATAAACACTTACAGTAAAAATTGCCGAACAGGTACCTTATGGCCTACATCTTGTTTGATACAGCAAACTATGTCCGGAAAAACCATCGAGAATTACGATTGGATACAAGCTCTAAGATTTAGCCTTTACGGGGGTTTGTTTACTGCTCCAACGTTATACGCCTGGATAAAGCTTTCGTCAAGATTGTGGCCGGCAACTTCTCTTAAAACATCAATAGCAAAAGTAAGAAACATTTCTATTAAAATTGGAGTTCATATGCAGGCTGAGTTTTCTATGTTCTCTATGCATGGATATCTCTGTTACTAGTGGAGCTAGAAAGTCGGTCAAATGCTGAAAGAATTGCAGTTTTGCGAGGGCGCAAATATATGCGCCTTTCGGATTTTTGAAAAAATTTGTGGCTTACTGGATATTTATTAATTCTATTATACTTTATATTTTCATTATTTACTAATACCATTATAATCTATTTTAGACAAAAAGTTTTCATATAGAAGTTGTAGATAATCACATCCTTAATGACATTCTGTTCTCCGTTTTTTCTAAAGCCTGTCATTTTTGACACAAACGTATGTTTTTTTAAGATGGAAACCATAGTTGGCCACGACTTTATAAAAAGCGCCATTTTTAAGCTTTCCTGCGATACAAACTATAATACAGATGTTTCATTCGCAAAATTACTGAGTTATAAGGCAACTCTTATCTTTTTTTCACTAATTTCACTTAGTTGGCATGGTATTCTTATTCTATTATGATTTATAACTTATAAAAAGACTTAAAACAAACTTTTAAAAAAATATATTTAATTTTTAAAACTAATATTTTTTTTTTATTAAACGTTTCTTACAATTTATATTAAAGAAATTAAAACTTTAATTTATTGTTAAGTTATTTTACTACTATGTTTCTATTGAAGTAGTACTACGTTTCTATGAAGTACCTAATCGCAACTATGGTTTTCATATAAAAAAAAACATATGTGTATGTATATGTCAAAAATGACAGGCATTAGAAAAAAAAGCCTATAACGCACACTGGTGATTATCTACAACTTTTATCTGAAAACTTTTTTTCTAAAATAGATTATAAAGGAACTAGGAAGCATATTTAAAATAGCCGAAATTTTTTTTTCGAAATATCTAGTAACCCATAAACTTTTTCAGAAATCAGAAAAGGGCAAATGTTTGTGTTCATAACTGCAATTCTTTCCCTGTTTAACCGACCCTCTAGCTCCAGTAGTTTCCAAGATTCCTATAGAGAACATCTTAGATCTTAGAAAACTCACCCCGTATTAAGTAATTAAATTAATTTGACACAATAATAAAATTGTCAAGACGTAAGACATTTGCAAAACTTTTAGTTAGTTTCTTAGTTGCAACCATTTAAATACAAAATTATTCCTTCTTTTGTATTAAAATTTTTGGTCGTAATGAAACTATCGTATGATCGAAAATAAAATGGCATCTATAGTTAGCTGGGAAATGACTGTCGATTACATTTCCCATAAAAATTTACATATAAAACGACAGCGTTCTTCATTTCATACGCCGTTTTTTTTTCGATTATACGGTATATTGCAAAAGTAAATATATACCAAAAGTACTCGTACAAAAGTCAGTATGCACAAAAGAGTCTCTACATATTTATAATTCAGACCAAAATGCCGTAAAACAATTATTTAAAAAGGCAAACCAGTGGATTTGAAATTTAATTTTTTCCATGATTCATCACACAAAGATTAAACAAATTATGGGGATGATCTTTTAACGATTATTGTTAAATTTTCATAACAAGAAAACCACTGAATATAAGAT